AAACATTTCTAATAACTAGAGAATTGCCACTCTTGATATCTTAGCATATATTCTAGATTTTTTTCTACACATACTCATACCCACATGTGTATTTTTAATAGACTTTTTAGATTTTTTTAGAGCAGTTTTAGGTTCACAGCAAAATCGAGCAGAAAATAGAGTTCCCATATACCCCTGCTCCCACACATGCATAGCTTTCTTCATCAACATCCCCCACCAGAGTGTTACATTCCTTACAGTTGATGAACCTAGACTGACACATCATTACCACCCAAAGCCCATAGTTTATATTACACTTCACCCTTGGTCATTCTGTGAGTTTGGAGGAATGTGTAATGACATGTATCCATCAGTATAATATCATATAGAGTAATTTCACTGCCTTATACATTCTCTATGTTCTCTGCTATTCATCCGTCCCTCTCTTAATCCCTGGCAACCACTGATCTATCTACTGTCTTCATAGTTTTGCCTTTTCCAGAATGTCATATAGTTGGAATCCTACAGTATGTAGACTTTTCAGACTTGCTTCTTTCACTTAGTAATATGCATTTAGAGTTCCTCGGTGTCTTTTCATGGTTTAATAGTTCATTGCTTTTCAGTTTTGAATAATATTCCATTATCTGGATGTACCACAGTTCATTTATGTATTCACCTACTAAAGACATCTTGGTTGCTTCCAAGTTTTCACAATGATGAACAAAGCTGCTATAGACATTGTGCAGGTTTTTGTGTAGACTTATGTTTTCAGCTCCTTTGGGAAAATACCAAGGAGTATCATTGCTAGATTATATACTAGGAGTATGTTTAGTTTTTTAAAGATTTTATTTATTTATTTGAGAGAGAGAGAGCATGAGAGGGGGGAGGGTCAGAGGGAGAAGCAGACTCCCCGCCGAGCAGGGAGCCCGATGTGGGACTCGATCCCGGGACTCCAGGATCATGACCTGAGCCGAAGGCAGTCGCTTAACCAGCTGAGCCACCCAGGCGCCCGAGTATGTTTAGTTTTTTAAGAAACTGCCAAGCTGTCTTCCAAAGTGGCTGTACCATTTTGCATTCCCACTAGCAATGAATGAAAGTACATATGCATTTTTTACCTACATAAAATCATGGTATCCATGTTATTTTGTAACCTGCATTTTTCTTTCTTTTTTAATCAATATCTTGTTTCTCTCCTTTTTAAAAAAAGATTTTAAAAATTTATTTGTGAGAGAGAGAGAGCACAAGCAGGGGGAGTGGAGGCAGAGGGAGAAGCAGGCTCCCTGCTTAGCAAGGAGCCCCATGCAGGACTGGATTCCAGGACCCTGTGATCATGACCTGAGCCTGAGCCGAAGGCAGATGCTTAACCATCCCATAACCTGCACTTTTCTATTAACAACTCTATCTTTCCACATCAATACATTTTTATCTCATGTATTACCAAGTTCATAGTCAGATTTCCATAGTTGTCCCTGAAATAACCAAAGCAGAATCCAATCTAGGACCACAGATTGCATCTCTTTATTATAGTCTATGGTTCTTTTAATCAAGCACAGTCTCTGCTTTTTCTTTTCATAACATTAACTTATAAAAGGGATCAGTCTGTTTTTCTTGTGCAATGTCCCTCCTCCTGAACTTGTCTCTTTGCTGCCTTTTGATGACATTTAGATTGGTTTAATAGTTAAACTTGAACCCTTTGGAGAGCAATTTGAAATCTATATTAAAGTCTACAAAAATGTTCACCCCCTGATTGTAATGATCTCACTTAGAATAATATACAAGGATATAGACAGATAAGAAGTTTTTCTCTGTGAAGGTCTCATCTACCTGGGTCTTTTAGTCACATAGTACCCCTCCCTGGAGAGCACCAATATCATCAGTTTCTCATGTATCCTGCTAGGGATTTCATGCATAAATGAACAAATAGGTATTTATATCATTTTTTCCTCTTTTTTTTTTACACAAATGGGAGCATACTGTTCTCATCTTCAGGTGCCTTTATCATTTAACAATATAGCTTAGAGATCATTTCATATCATTGTATAAGAACATCCTTGTTCTTTTTTAATGGTATAGCATTCTATTATAAGGATGTGCTATACTTGATTCACATAGTCCCTTATTTATGTATTTAGCTTGTTTCTATTCTCTTGATCTTACCAAACATTGTTGCATATGAGAATACCTATAGAATAAATTCCTAGGACTGGAATTGCTGGGTCAAAGAATATATGCACTTAACAATTTTGATATCCTCAAATTGCTTTCCACGGAGGTTGCATTAATTTACACTCTTAAATCAGGAAACTAGTCCCTTGTCTGTGACATCCTTTTCCCAAGTTTGTCAGTTGTCTTTTGGTTTTGCTTATTGTGTTTTGTTTTTGCTTTTGTTTTTTTGCCATTTAGAAAAATTGGCTTTTATTCTAATATATCAAAATTTTTTTTGGTTTCTGACTTTTTTTGCCCTGTTTTGAAAGGTCTTAACCAAGCCAGCCAAGATTATAAAATAATTCTCCCATGGTTTCTTCTATTACTTTTATGGATTAAATTTTAACAAATAAGATTGATATTTCCTGGTGTAATGTATGAGGTAAATATCCAGCTTAACATTTTTCCCCCCTAGATTGCTGACCAGTTGTCTTAACAGTATTATTGAATAATTTATCTTTTCTCCACTTGATTTGTGAAACCATTAAGACTCTTTTAATTATAGTAAGCTCCAGATATGTATTTTAAAATAGAGTTCAAATCTTATATACGTTGTGTTTTGGGATGCTAGATGAGAACTATTATCCTTAATTATCTGCTGTCCTTTTAGAAACTTTTCTCTGTTCACCTTTATAAAACTCTAACTGATATATGTTGCTACTGCTAAATTTCTGATTAGATTTCATTAAGTGCAGATACAATACTCTTACAGAGTTAGAGTAAGGCTGTTTATATTTGTTGCCAAACTTGATGATTTCCTATATCCTCTTTAAAAAAAAAACTAACCATGTGGTAAAGATGATAGCAGATGTTCAATTGAAAAAAAGCAGTTTATGGAATTTTGAACAAAATAAAGTGTTTACCCAAGTTCTGTTCTAGTGGGTTTTTTTTCTTCAAAGATTTATTTATTTATTTGAGAGCGAGAATGAGAGAGAGAGAAAGAGAGTACATGAGAGGGGGGAGGGTCAGAGGGAGAAGCAGGCTCCTTGCTGAGCAGGGAGCCTGATGTGGGACTTGATCCCGGGACTCCGGGATCATGACCTGAGCCGAAGGCAGTTGCTTAACCAACTGAGCCACCCAGGCGCCCCTGTTCTAGTGGTTTTAAAAATCCTATCTTGGGGGCGCCTGGGTGGCTCAGTTGGTTGGGCGACTGCCTTCAGCTCGGGTCATGATCCTGGAGTCCTGGGATCGAGTCCCGCATCGGGCTCCCTGCTC